ATCACATATAAAAAGAATTACTAATATATACCATAATCAAGTGGCATTTAGCCTAGGCATGCAAGGTTAGCTCCACATTAGACAATTAGTTAATGTAACCCACCACACCAATACAATACAGAAGAAATATTGCTTGATCATATTAGTCGATTTGGAAAAAGCATTTGACAAAATCCAACACTTATTAATACTCTGAGTAGACTAGAAATGGAGAACTTCCTCAATTTGAAAAAAAAAAGTACAAAAACCCTATGACTAACGTCATACTCAGTAGTGAAGAACTCAATGTTGTCTCACTAAGATCAGAAATGTGGCAAGGATGTCACTTCTCATCATTCCGTTTGAACATCACACTGAAAATTCTAGCTAATGAAATAAGACCAAGAAAAGGAAGTAAAAGACATATATATAGGAGATAAATAAATAAAATCATCTTTGTAGATGATGTGAAATGATTACAAATTTCTCGGAATTAATAAGTGATTATAGAAAGGTGGCACAATACAAGACTAATATACAAAGATAAATTGTATTCCCATATACCAGCAATGAATAATTGGAACTTAAAACTAATTAAAACACAGTATCAACTACATTCTTACCACCAAAAAGAACTAATCAGGTATAACCTATCAAAATAAGTATAATATCTCTATGAGGAAAGCCAAAAATATCTCTGCAAAAGAAACTGAAAAACTGGGGCCAGCAGAAAGAGTAGTGGACTCCCACATGGCTGACCATGGTTTGAATCCCGGACCCAGTGGCTTAAAAATCATGCTGAACATGTGTGCATGTATGCCCCAGATACCAGATCCCAGATCCCAGGAGGAAAATGGAGATGGGATTGTGGTGTGGCTATCACCCATGGGGGGTGATTTCTCACTTTTCCCTCTCACTGTCTCTGTCTCTCCCTCTCTCTCTCCAGTGAGTACACATGCCTTATGGTAAAAAGCTCTAAAAAAAAAAAAAAAAACAAAGAAACGGAAGAACTAAGTAAATGGAGATATTTCTTGTTTATAGCTAGGAAGACTCAACATTGACGGGATGTCACTTCTTCCCAACTTGATCTAAAAATTCAATGCAATCAAAATTCCAGATATGTTTTTCATAGTATCCCTTTATTTTCTTGTGTGTATATTCACAAATACGTTCTCAATTTTATTATATAGAGAGAAGCAAAAAATCTAGAATAGCCAACAGAATATTGGAGATAGTGTTCAAGGCTGGAGGACTGTCACTATCCAATTTCAAGACTTACTATGAGGCTACACTAATCAGGATAGCATGGTATTGGCAAAAGGATAGACAAACAGATCAATGGGACAATAAATAGAAATATGATCAATAATCTTTATCAAAAGAGCAAAGACAGTACAATGGAGAAGATACTTTTTAAAAAAATGGTACTAGACAAGTAAATGTGTACATGCTAAAAGAATAAACCTAGACACAAAACTTACACTGTGCACAGAAATGAATTCAAAATGGGGCATAGACCCAAAGGTAAAATGTAAAACTTTAAAACTTCTAGAAAATAGTATAGTAGAAAGCCTAGATGACCTTTGGTATGGTGATAACTTTTTAGGTACAACACCAAGGGAATGATCCATGAAAGAAAGAATTGACAAGCTTGACTTTATTAAAGTGAAAAATTCTGATCTGTAAAAGACACTGTCAAGAGAATAAGTAGAGAAGCCATAGATTGAAAAGAAATATTTCAAAAATCATATCTTATAAATTACCGGTACCTAAAACATGCAAAATCTCATAGAATTCAAGTAAGAAAATCAAGAACCTTATTACAATATGTTACAAATACCTTAACAGATACTTCACCAAAGAAGATATAAACGGTGAATGCCCATATGGCAACCTCAAGGAGTCCTTGAATGGTTATATCTTCAGTCATTTCCTGTGCAGTCCCTTACTCCATTTCCCACATCAGTAGCCACACTAATTATTAAAAGGAGAACATGCACCATTCAGCTACTGGGACAAGAGCCACAATCTATCATAGCTCCTTTCTCCAAAGAACAACACAGACTGTGGAAGCTAGATCTTGATTGGCAAATGGCTCTAGCTCATTTCCCTGGCCAAATTGATTGTCATTATCCTTCTAATCATACAGTTTTCCTGGACCACTTCTTTTTTGTTTTCCCTAAAGTAATTTCATCTGAGCCCATTCCAAATACTATAGTAGTACTTACTGATGGTTCAAGTAATGAATGGGCATGCAGGATATTGCACACAAAGCAAAATAAAAGTTATATCTAATCCACCTTGATCCGCACAGCATGCCGAACTTTGTACTGCAGAAGCTGTTAACAGACTTTCAGCATCAGCCTTTAAACATTTATTCTGATAGTCTTTATGTGGTTTCTGTTATTTAAAAAATTGCAACTGCTATTCTTTGGAATATTTCACAAAAAAAGCCTTTCCATACCTTTTCTATAATCCAAGATTTAGTACATAGACAAAAGTGCCCACTTTTCACTTGCCACATTAGATCTCATACCAGCCTCTCTGGTGCTCTTACACTGGACAACCACCAAGCTGATGCACAGCTCATGGCTGTCATTTCAGGCACTCCAGAAACAGGCACAGCAATCACATAACCTTTTTCACCAAAATGCTGCTGTTCTGTACAAACAATCTTCTATCACTGGAAAATAGACATGTGAGATTGTTAAAAATTGTCCAAATTGTGTTCTTTTCGTGCCTTCTCTTCCTATGGGAGTTAATCCCTGGGGCCTGCCCCCGAGTCACATTTGATAGATGGATGTAACCATTATGCCTCACGCTGGATGCCACTTGCTGGGACCTGTTTGGCTAAACACGTTTTTCTGAGTAGGGACGGCTGTGGATTAGAAATAAACACAATAACAAACACACAAAGACACATGCATATAGAAAAGCAAGGATTGGATGGGTCCAACCTCTCTGATGGAGAAAGCCAGGACCCAGAACCAGCCTCAGGTTTATTCTTTTAAAGAGCAGAAAATGGGGAAAAAAAAAAGAGTAGAAAATGGGGTAAGAAGAAATAAAATACAAACAGAATAGGGGAAGATGTGAAAATGACTGGTGCCATGTGATTTCTCTGACCTTTCTGAAGTGAAATCTGATAAACAGATGTGGCTTCCTTCAGCCTGATACTGTGCTACAGTATTGAGTATTAGACATTAACAACAACAGGAAGATAACCATAACGATGGACAAATCGCATTTTCATGTATAAATGCTCTCATAGCCATTGCTAAAGAAACTCACAGAAGCACATTTCTACATGTGTCTACAAGTCACATGTTTTCTCAGATTGGCCACTCTCCTCAGGCAAATAGACGTGAAAAGATGCTACATATGGTATGTCATCTTGGACATGCAAAACAAAACAGCAATCTGAATCCATTACACATACCAACCCATCTGGCAAAAATCCAGAAAACTGACACCACTTAATACTGGCAAGAACATAGAGCAACAGGAACTCTCATTCATTGTTGGTGTGAATTGGTACAGCCACTTTGTAGGGCAGTTTGGTGTTTTTATAGAAAATTAAATAGGCTCTTACTGTACAATGCAGCAATTGTGCTTCTTGATATTTACCCAAAGGAGTTGAAAATTTATGTCTACACAAAACCGTACATATGGATGCTTACAGCAATTTTATTTATAATTGCCAAAACTTGGGAGCATACAAAATGTCCTCTAGTAGGTGAATGGATACATGAATTCAGGTATACCGCTAAGAGCAAACCCTAATATGAACTATGGACTTTGGATGATAATGATATGTCAATGTCAAGTTGGTCAGCTTTAACCAATGTTTTGCTGATTGGAATAAGGGAGTTACATATGTGTGTAGGATAATGAGGTAAATGGGTAATCTCTGTATCTTCAGCACAACTTTCTTATGAACCCAAAACTCTTTAAAAAATAGTCTAATTTGATAAACATTGAAAAAAGAACCTAAATGACGTGCCTTCATTTATGTCATTCCTCCATTCATCAAATTAGATATTATTTCTTTGATAACTTTTTCCCCATTTTATCTGCCCATTCTTGCTTGAACCCTACTGACTATTATTTATCATAACATAAACCTCTATATTGCTGATACTCCTCATTTTTCCATCTCTTTGTCTTCCAGATGTACTTTTACAAAGAGATCTTCAACTTTTCTACATTGCTCTATTAACTTTAAATTTTTCTTCTATTATATTCAGAAAGTGTATCTCAGGACCAGATGGTGTAGTAGTTATGTTGCTGGAGTCCCACATGACTGACCATGGTTTGAGTCCTGTACCCAGTGGTTTAAAAATCACACTGGGCATGTGTATGTGTGTGTCCAAGGTCCCAGCAGAAGAATGGAGGAGAAGAGATTGCAGTGTAGCCATCTCCCCTGGGGTGATTTCTCTTTCACTCTCACTGTCTCTGTCTCTCTCTTTCTCCAGCAAGCATATTTGCCCTAAGGCAAAAACATCTTTAAGAAAAAGTATGTCTCTGAAATACCTTCTATTAATTTGTTCATTTTTCACATTTATTTGTCATAATTTTTTATTGATGTAATACCTTCTCTATAGATAGATACACATTTTTTTCTTCTACCCTTTTCTTTTTCCATGTTTCATTTTTCTACTTTCTTTTCTGTCTTTAAGTTGGTGGCTTTATGAATGTGATTTATATCTGTCGATCTACTTAAGAATGAAATATGTGAATGTGAACACACACACATGCATGCATGCACACATTCACAGACTGGAATTCCTTGTGTGTGAACCAGGTTTATTTTCATGATAGGATTACCAGGAAAGGGTCTGGCTCTTTGCACTGGGTAGCCCAAAATTTCAGTAGCTATTGGTCTCTCCCTCTTGAGCCAGTCAGCATGGTGAGAGGCTCCAGTCTTTTGCTTGTGGCATAAACCTGGCTGTGGGTACTCTAGGAGCAAGGAACAAAGGAATACTTTTCTCTGCGTAAACTTTTGCTTTGATCTCCTTTTCCAGGATGCTGCCTCCACTTGACCCTTCAGTGTCTTGTGTCTATCTGCAGGGTATTTTCTGATTGACTCTCTTAGGTAAGTAGAACTGGAGGAGGAGGAGCACCAGGACGCATGGGGTACGGGCACTAGCAGTAGCTCCTCAAAGAGACCCTCAATAAATGTGCTTTCTTCCAGCTTCATCACTGAACCCATCTTTCATAAATCCTGAAGCCTCAAATCTTTGATCCTCCCTGAGGCTGTATGTTATGAACATTGTTGGTTCTTTCTGGGGCCTCTATGAGAAGCCGTTGGAGCTTTCTTTCAACAACCAAGTCAGTTAACTCACATCCATCTTCCAAAAGTGTCTTGTTAATTCTCCCATGTTGATGTTACCCCATTAGTACTCTCCAGCCTGTGTGTTTCATTTATTCATTCATTCCGTAAATAATTTGAGCACCTCTGTGTGCCTGGCACTGCATCCAGTGGATTGGATTCAGTGAACAGATATATACAAATCCCTGGCCTTATGGGGCTCACATTTCCAGAGCAAGAGTTAGTTAAAAATGAGCTAAGTGTACAGTGTGTCAGATGGTCAATGCCCTGGGTGGGGAAGGGAGAGAGGACTTGCTCTTCAGAAGACCTCCCAGATGAGATGCTATTCAAGCCGGCATTAGGTGGCAGAGTGGGATTAGCCTTGCAGCAGGAAATGCAGGAGGTCCCACGGCTCTTGACTGATTTCCTGAGTGTGGCTGGGTGGTTTCCCTCTGCGACTATATCACCTTGAGCATGCTCTAATTGAAACACTTTCATCATGAAGTATTGTAATTATTATCATTTTATTCAGTTTTATTTTTTAAAGAATTATTCATTTGATTTAATTTATTATTCTAATTTTATTTATTTATTTATTTATTTGATTTTTTTTTGAGAGGTTTTTGCTATAGGGCACATGCGCTCGCCAGAGAGACAGAGAGAGACAGAGACAGAAAGCAAGAAATCACCCTCCAGGGAAGATGGCCATGCCACAACCCCTTCTCTTCCATTCTCCTCTCAGGATCTTGGGCACACATGCACATACATCCCACGTGAGTTTATGCCACCGGGTCTGGGACTCGAACCGTAGTCAACTACATGGGAGTCCAGTGACATAGCCATTACACCAACTACTGTTCCCATAATTTAATTTATTATTATTATTCAATTTGACTTGAGAGAGACAGAGAGAGAGAGAGAGCAAGTCACCAGGTTCAGGACTTGAATTGCAGTGAACCATGTGGGAGTTCAGCATTCTAACCACCATACCACCCACCACCAGCTGGAGCTCTGTAATTAGTAAACTACATATCTACATCCAAGATTTGGCAAAGCCATCAACACCTGGATCCTTGTCTTAATTTTTACACTCCCAAAGTGCAATGTGTCATCGTAGGTGTCCAGTATATAACTTGGTGAATGAATAGCAGATGAGATGCTCAAGTAGGCTATAGGCTGGAATCAGTCCCCCAGGCTCTGACTCTGAGGCGAGAAGTTGGGTTAGGAAGGAGGGTGTGTGCCTGCTTTGAAGTGCTCTCATAGTTCAGTGCATGTGTTAGTACCAGAAGAGGGCCATCCTACAGGTCCCTTAGTTACGGAGCATGACAGTAAGTGGTCGCCTGTCATTTCTCACAACTTGGCGGTTACCTTTTTTGAATCAGTATAACCATGTGGCATGAATCAGCTACAAGAACTTTTTTCTGTGGTCATGAGAGGGAAGCAAAACCATCTCAATCAATTTCAGTTCAAGTCATCACTTCTACATGCCTTTGACCTGAGCATCTCATCTGGGCCTGGGTAGGAAGGGAGATGTTTATCAGAGTGCATGGGGAGTGTTTTTGGATGTGCCTTTATTTATTTATTTATTGTAATTCCTGGTTTGTATGTGTTTGGCAAACATTGTTGTGGAGTACAATATGTTTTTTAAAGGAATTATTTATTTTATTTAATTAATTTTTATTATTATTTAAAATTTGCTATAGGATATTTGCACTCATGAGAGAGAGAGAGAAAGTGAGAAAACAAACCATCAGATCTGAGACTTGAACCGTGGTTGCTCATGTGGGAGTCCAGTTCCTTAACCACCATGCCACCTGCTGGAACCCATTATAGTTATTTAATGCTAATATAAAGCGTGTACTAATAAAATCAAGAATATACATGTTGTGGGATGCTTTACTGTGATTTCAAGGTTGCCCCACTTCTTTCATCTGTTGCCCCTGTGCTGTCATCCCAGACAGATTAACCTCTCCATTCCAATCTTAAACCTTCGCTTTCCATGTAGTCCTCTTAATCTTTGATAAAACACTTTTCCAGGGTATACACCAGGAGCAGGTGATGTCCTAGCTGTAATGCAGCAGGACTCACACCAAAAGGGTCCTGGGTTCACCTCTCAGGACCTCCCTGAGCATGCTGGGGATGCGATCTGCTCAGCTTAGACAAGATGAATTATTTTAGGAGATCTCTCTAGCTCTCATGAAAAGAAAGACAGAAAGGGAGAAAGGAAGGAAAGAAGGAAGAGAGAGAGAGAGAAAGAAAGAAGAAAGAAAAAGAAAGAAAGAAAGAAAGAAAGAAAGAAAGAAAGAAAGAAAGAAAGAAAGAAAGAAAGAGGAAAGGAAAGGAAAGGAAAGGAAAGGAAAGGAAAGGAAAGGAAGAAATGGAGGAAGGCAGGGAGGGAGTAAAGGTTGAAGGAAGGAAAGAAGGAAGGAAGGAAGGAAGGAAGAAAGAAAGAAAAAGAAACATTAAGAAAAGTTACCTGCCCACTTTCTCTTCTCAATCTCAAATCCAAGTCACTACCACCTTCCATCCCAGATAAAACTGTTAGTTGTCAGGAACCTTCACTGCTGTGTATCTACTTCTATTACTTTTTACACCGAGAGCTGACTCTGCTGCTTGATTACTCTCTGGAAAGCTGTTGCATATTCTTGACTTACTTGCATGGAGTCGTCTCATTCTAACAGTAATCCCTTAATGAAGATAATCACATTTTTCCTATTTTATAGTTGAGGATATGGACACTTTAGAAGGCTGTAATTTACCAGATCTCACACAGCTAGTAAATGGCAAAGCCAAGATTTAAGTCGGTGTCTGCCTGGCTATATAGCTGTCAGCCTTAGGCAGCAAGTTAACACAGTTTGAAATCCAGGAGGGACACAGGAATCCTGGCATGAGGCAGTAGGCACTATTCCTTCCTAGCAGATGCCACATGGGATGCAGCGGACTTCCTTTGTTTCATAAAACGTGTCTCAAAGAGGAATCCTTCCAAGGTCACACCTGCTTAAGGAATTTTCCTTTTGTTCTACTTCACCAGTTTTTCTTCTCTCTTAGATTATTCTCCTAAGCATAAAAGAGTCTGCAGTTTCTCCCATCAAAGAAAAACAAAAAACAAAAAGAACCTTTCTCAACCCCACATCACCCTCCAGCTGCCACCACATTCCTCTGCCTCCTTCATAGCAAAAGAGTTGTTTCACACCTGCCTTTCCCCTTTTCTCTGCACCCATTCGAGTTAAACTTTCATCCACCCATTCTTCGTAAGTGTCACCACTGACTCCACATTGCTAATTCTTTTTTCTTTCTTCCTTTTTATTTATTTATTTTGTTAGTTTGCTAGTTTTTGCTGTAGGGCATGTGTGCTCACTCGACAGAGGCAGACAGAGGAGAGACAGAGAGAAAGGGAAAGTGAGCAGTCACCCCCAGGGGGATGGCCACACTGCAGTCCCTCCTCCATTCCCCTGTTGGGATCTCTGGGCACACTCATGTGTTTTTCAAGCTGCTGGTTGGGGACTTGATTGTGCAGTTGGCTATGTGGGATCCAGCTGCCTGGATCACCACACCACCAGCTGGCCCCTCTTCTTATCGTTATAGTCTTCAATTTACCTAGCATATAAGACACAATGGACACAGCTTATTCCTGTACCTCCTTGAGAATTATCTTCTCATAGCCTCTGGAACTCCACTTTTCCTGGCTTTCTATGTACCTCAGCAACCTGGTTAGTCAAGCTTCATCTCTCACTCTGCAGACACTGGGCTGTCCAGGAGCTCAGTTTGGACATCGTATTTCTCTGTGTTCTCTCCCTCAGGGAAGTGATGTATCCTTCCAGCTTTCACTACTACTATCCATAAGTGAATGGCCCCCAGATTTCTATCTCTAGCCCTGGACTGTCTTTTGAATGCTACCTGAGTACCTGAAATATACACTTAAAGTTCTAATAGCTCTCTGTAGCTTCATATTTCTAAATTAATATTCTTTCCTTTTCACATAATTATTAATTTAATTATTATTTTAATGTGCTATAGGACATATGAACTCACCAGAGAGAGGCAAAGAGAAAGAGAGGGAAAGTGAGAAAGCAAGCCACCAGATCCAGGACTCGAACCATGATTAGCCACGTGGCATTCCAGCACCTTAACCATCACACCACCTGCTGGCCTGACTCAATTACTTTTCTTGATCACCCCCCTTACACACTCTTTGTCTGCTCCTTTAACATCCTTCTGCTTCTCAGTATCAGCAGCATCTTGATTTTTTCCAGGTGCTCAGTGTTTTTCTTAACTCCTCTTTGACACTCCATGTTCAATCTATCAGTGAAGCTCATTTGCTTAATGCAAATGTGTGTATATTGAACCCACCCAGCCTATGTCTCCACTGCTACTCTCCTAGTCCAGAAACCTTCATCTCTTACCTGCATGATTAGAGGCCTCCTAAGTGGCCTTCTGGCTTCCACTCTCGTTGCCATTTCAGCACAGACTGATGTATTAAAAATGCAAGTTGTACAGGACCAACAGATGGCATAATGGATCCATCGCTGAACTCCCATATGGCTGACAGAAGTTCAAGTCCCAGTACCAGACTCAGCATCTTCAAACTCATGCCGGGTATGTGTGCATTCATGCCCCAAATCCCGAGAATGGAGAAGGGTTTGTGGCTTGGCCATCTCCCCAGGGGGTGATTTGTTGCTTTCTGTCTCTCTGTCTCTCTGGTGAGTGCATGCACTCTATAGAAAAAAAAAATCTAAAAATATAAAGTAAAAAAAGCAAGTTGTAGCTTGCTGTCTCTACTCGAA